TGCCGTCAGTGCTGCTATCTTTTTCCATGGAGTCAAGCAGGAAAGTGATGGAATAGAAGAATGAATTCATAGACATCGTGGAAAAAGCAAAGGGAGGTTAAAGAAAGAGAGAGAGAGAGAAACTAGAGAGATGTTTGGCACATCAGTAGACCTGCACACCAGAGCCACAATTGGCCACTAGCCTCAGGACAAGGAGCTGAGTGATGCCTCGAAGTGGATTGGACAGACTTCTGTGAGGAACGGTGCAGAAAGTGTCTGGGTAAGCTCTCTGGGTAGTTGAAAGTTTTGATAAGAGAAAACTAAAAGCTTGTCATCAGCCCTGCTGGTGAAGTAGATCCTTTAGGGCACGTTGCAGCTGCAAGTGGCAACTTTTCTCAGGCACTACTAGGAAGTCCTGCAGGTTTGTTGATTTTCTTTAAGCAGATATTTTATTTTAGTCCTTAGAGTAGCCCTTTTTAACCTGGACAAATAAAAAAATATTTGTCATGGCCACTTTAGAGAACAAATGTTTCTGTAATGAATGGAAGAATTGGCCAACCCCTGTAGCAATGCATGTCAACAATAAGCCTATCCCACCAGGTCACCCGAGCCTCACTTACCCCCAACATCTGGTAGATGTAGTGATGCTCTGGCCCTTGGTGATATTGCAGAAACGTTTTCCAAAAAAGCAGTACATTCAGGGAGAGCCAGATTAGCTAAAGCAATCAGATAAAGAGAGAGAGAAAAGAACAATTAAAAATAAACATCAACCGATGAATGGAATACATATTCGCTGGACGCTGTAATTTTAAGGGAATCGCGGACAATTAGAAATTACAGAAAGCAAGCATTCTCAATCAACACAAACCCACTGCCATCGAGTGGATTGGAATCAAAGCAACACTACAAAGTAGTTTAAGTCTGCAAATCTTTACTGAAGAAGATAGCCTCGTCTTTCTAAGACGGAGCAGCTTCTGGGTTTGAACCACTAACCTTGGAGTTAAGCAGTGCAAGGAGGGGAAAGGGAAACCTAGCTTCATTTACCTGTCACCTGAGAGTAATTAATTAAGCCTTCGGGCGGCAAAGAGGTCTCCTAAATGATCTACAGGTATCCCTTGCTGTGTACAACAAGACTAAGAAACTCGTGACATCTCCAAGTCCCAAATGCTGTATGTTGTTAAAACAATGTATCCGAGAGAGGAAAAAAATTCAGGACAAAAGCAAAGGGGAGAATTGCTTAAAGGGTTAAAAAAAGAAAGACAAAGCAGTGTTCACTTCCCACTTCCTCCACATCCGCTTGCCTACCAGTGTGCAGGAACGTTTACATACATCTGGAGTTTCCGTGACCTCCAGGTTTGGGAAGTTTTGTTACTTATACACGTTCGAATTCGCGGCGAAACATCCATTCCCAGCCTCCCCCCGCGCGCAGAGAATGAATCAAAGTCAATGCCGGAGAGAGACCCGAGCCCCCCGCCCGCCGTCCTACCAGGCAGAGGTGTTTAACCCCTTCGTTGGCCAGCCAGTTCCTCCAGGACACAGCCATGCCTCGGCCCGCCGCGCGGCGCTCGCCTCCGGCCGGCCACACGGAGCGGGCAGCGGTCCCTCAGTCCTCTGGTCGCGCGACCTGCGAGGGGTGGGCAGGGATGGAGGGTCAGAGAGCTGGCGGCGGGGTCGGCACTGCCCACCGCGCAGCGCCAGCCCTGCGATCTGCATCTGCGAGCGCGCGCTCTGGGCCCGGCTGGGCTGCACGCGCTGCGCCGCCCCGCCGGCCCCTTTGTCCCCGGCCAGCCTGTGGTTGTGGCTGGCGCCGCTCAGGACGTCCCGGGCTAGGTACGAGGAGGCGTCCCCCTCTGTCTGGAGCCCGGCCGGCCCAAAGATGTGGAGCCAGATACGCAAAGCAAGTGGGACCCTGGGCCACCTCCTGGTGGTACACACAACTCTGATCTCTCGGTCTCTCTCGCTCTCTCTCCCCTTTGTGGTGGTGGTTTTAAAGTGGCGAAATTTAAGCTGGAAATAGTCTTTTGGGCACTTGCATCGCCCTTCTCCAGCACATCCCTAAGAACAAAAGCCTCACTTAAACCCACCCCCACCCCCACCCCCGGAGCTTCCTCTACCTTCTTCTCCTCTATCTTCCCCACATACTGATGGAAAACCTTTAGGATTTTTTTTTTTTTAATAAAAAGAGTCCAGTAGGTTAATGTCCCAGGGAGTTCCAGGGAAACTCAATTCACTCTACTTACGACCTAGTATCAGTCTGTTTCGTGATGGGAATCCTCTCAGACTTGTACCAGAGACCCCTTGCAGGGCGGAAAGTGTTTGGAGT